CCATCGAAATATTCATATTATCCGGTAATTATTTTACAAGAGGAATACGGTATATCGATATGATTTTAATATTACAACAGTACATTGTTTACATTAGCGTCAAAGCAGTTGTGTGAATCTTATAATTTTGCTGTTTAAAATCTTGCATAAAGAATAAATATTAGTAGATGCATAAATCAATTTTTTGCCGATTTAAAGATTCTTTGCATAGTAATTGAAGTAATTAAAGAGTATACCTTAGAAAAAAATATATATATATATATGGTAAAATAGTGATTAAATGAAGCATTTGCAAACAGAATAATACGCTAATATATAATAAGAAACTTGCTATTTAAATATGCACAAGTTATATGTATAAAGTAATGACCTTTAACAAGTTTTGAAAGTTACCACCAGCTAATACCTTCAAATATATGTGAATAAATGACCATAATGATATATGGTAATCGTGATATCAAAGTTGGAGATGAAGATAAATGGAAGATAAATGAATTGCAGCTATCGAGTTTTCATGAAGTGGGCCATTATTTAATATTAGATAATAAATGTCAGGAGGTAATTTTTTTAACAATCTTTACAAAGTACCTGTTCAGCAACAAAATCAGGTTCAACGGTAGTATTAATAATATACAGTGTTATTGATATCCTATCAGTAGCTTCAATATTTATTCTTCGTCTTCTTAACTCTGATTCATTTATTTCATTATCATCAGTAGATTCTAATATTTCTTACATTGAAATTGGATACGTTAAAATCGAAAGAGGAAGAAAAAAAAAACGTTGAGAACTAAAATAGATGCATCTTACCAGGATTTGTTGTAACTGTACTAGTATGAATGAATAATTAATTAATTGATCGCACTATTGCAGTGGGTAACAAGATGGCAATAAATGGGTCTCCCCAATAAATTAGATGTCAAAATACCATAAACAAAATCTTTTCGAATATCTTAATAATCAAAATTTCTCGGTGAATAAAGCTGGTACCTAAGATAAATTCAGAATAATCAATTCGTTGCGATAGTAAAAATTTTCCTTTATCAATTTATTTACCTCTACTGAACAAATATCAATCTGACAATCGATAAGATCATTACGTATTTGAACATCGGCATGTTTTTGAATACTTCCATATCCATAACTATGCGACGTTTACGCGGATAGAGCCCCACGGTTTCACAATAAACACATTCATTAGTTTTCCCATCTAGTACGAAAATTGATGATTCACCTAAAGTTGTTAGGCGAAAAATAGAGGTTTCGCCAATGGCGAATGGCGAAACCTGGTTTCGACTTTCGCCAAAAAAAAATTTAAAAAAACGAAATGGCGAAACTGGCGAAAGGTGACGAAACTGACGAAAACTGGAAAAAGGCATTTTGCCTCTCATTGAGGAGGTGTTTAGCAATAAATACAATGAAATACCATTGTGGGTATTCTGTCTCTGCTGCTTCGTGCAAACCTCCTAGATCAACGCAGAATTCAAGAGTATCGTTAAAGTGCAAATAAGCGCAAAAGTGCAAGTAAAAATACTAATAAAAGCACATAAGTGTAAATAAACGTGTCAATAAAGCGTAACGTGTGCAACGTTAATCTGAATGCGAATTTTTCCGTGACTATCGTCCCGATAGACCACTTACACTAGATTTGACTGTCGTCCGACAGGCCAAAACCGATCCCGTTGAGACAAAAAAACAACCAATTTCTGTGACTGTCGTCCGACATATAGTTGTTAGGCGAAACTGTTTTTCGCAAATGGCGAAGCACGAAACTGGCGAAACCCTTGGCGAATGGCGAAACCCTTGGCGAATGGCGAAACCCCTGGCGAATGGATTTACTTATTTGTGCCGGTAATACAATCCAAAAAAGGAAATTTGATTTTATAAATAAACAAAGTGCGTAAAACACGTATTTAGGGTTGGAACGTTAACATTAGAGGCTATAGCGATAGACTATCGTTCATTATATGTAAAATTTCGTTTCCGACATTTTTAATTAGTACACCAAGGCTGGTTTAAACACTAGTTTTTGAGTTTTTTTCGCTTTTTCTTCTTTTACACGCATTCGGAATTCATGTTGGGCTGATCCGGAACGATCAAAATTGAATTCACTGATTGCACAAATAAGTAAAGCCCTGGCGAATGGCGAAACCCCCAGAGAAAGACGAAGTTCAAGCTCTCATCAAGTTTAATTCTTTAAGACTTTGGAAAAGACTGAGTCATGTTGGAGAATAAAATATTATATGTATCTATTGTAAGGCCCAATAACGTGATGAAATTAAGATGCCGGGGCCTCACGTGAGAGCGGGTATGGCGATCAATTCCTTGATATGGATATCCCGGTGATTAATCGAATTAATTCGATTAATTAAATATATCAAGGAAAGAGGATTTAATAGCGAAGGGGAATTTATTAAGTATAAGGGTTTAGGTGGATAAATTAGAAAGATCGAATTAAATAAAGAAAATAGAGAAGCGAGATTAATGTAATTAAATATGTCATAGTTAGAAAGATAATATAAATAAAGGCCAAAATGGCCCTTAGAAAAAAAAAAGGATGTCTCATTTGCTTTATTAATAAACAAGTCCCAATACATTGTATCGTTCATAATAAAACCCTAACACTATACCCAGTATAAACCCCGTAAACCCCTATAAACATCATCGTTCGTTCAAGTTCTTGTTCACGTGACTTACACATTGACCTTCGTTGAATCCAAGTAACCTAAAGCCTTAATCACCCACCAGCCAAATCTAACATCCTCTTTCGAAAAGGTTAACTACCGTACGTTGCACAAAATCTTGGATTGTGGAGCGACTGAGTCGCAGCATTCCGAACCCAACACTATTAAGCATTGCATGTGTGCATATGATTCATTGTACATATATTTTACATGAATCATATGCACGCATGCAATACTTAATAGATACATACAATATTTCATTCTCCAACATGACTCAGTCTTTTCCAAAGCCTTAGAGAATTAAACTTGCTGAGAGCTTGAACTTTGTCTTTCTCTGGGGGTTTCACCATTCGCCAGGGATTTCGCCATTCACCAAGGGTTTCGCCATTCTTCTTAGTTTCGCCAGTTTCGTGTTTCGCCGGATTTAGGTTTCATGTTTCACCATTTGCAAAAAACCGTTTCGCCTAACGACTATAGATTCACCCAAAGATCTGAAAAAAGATATTACAAATTTAATGAATAATTTCTTAGTAGAGAATACATTGTCAGCATCATTGTTACTGAAGGGTACGCTATTCACTCATTGGCAAAAAATTGATCTCATCTTTTATACTTACTGACATTCTGATAAACTTTTCAACTATAGTACTCAATAAAATTCTTCGACAATCTTGTGTGGAAATTCGTATATTAATTTCACAAATTCGATAAACCCAGTAAAAAGATATAGAAAAAATATGTATTCTCTTATCACTTAAATTTCTAAGATAGGAATTTTTCCTAATTCATAGTGTATTACTTTTGCTCTGAAAGAAGTATCATCTTTCTTTTCAAAAAAATATTACATCACTCATCAAAGCAATTTTTACAAATACGAACCAGTTTCTCACTTCTTTTACTATTAAGTTCATTAAAGTCATTGTAAAACTGTAGAAATAAATAATGAGTAAATATATTTGGTCTTATAGTCTTGTGAATTTCCTAATAAGCTTTCAAAGAGCACGTTTTTGTCAATAAATGTAGACACCAGTATTAATAAATTTGTTTTGAAATAATATACACAATAATAATATAATAATAATAAAATAAAAATGAAAGATACAATGTATAGAGCTTCTAGTTTGTTAAAAAACAGCAGACGGTTAAGAATCAACAAACCGATCCAAATCTGAATAATTATTTGTTCTATCCATTAGGATTATGTTATATTCAGATGATTTAGCTCTATTAATTAAGTTTTTACTGAAACTTGCTTTTGAAGATGCTACTAAGGTAGTAATTGTTGTATCTTTGTGATATCTAAATAAAATGCCTTCTAAATCACGTAAATATTGCAGTTCAATTGATCTAGGTTCGGAATAGTTCTATAATGATAAGTTTTGAGTTTTTGAATTATTGACTTAAAACATAATACTTACTTTGCACTGACCAATAATTGTATATCTTCTGTACCAACTAATATAATCGATTTCACCATCTCCTAGTTTCTTTATATTTGGTATAGAAGAATATAAATAAGTATTTGTGTCATAAGTTATAGTTATTGTATGGGTTGTAAAAAATAACTAAATTTGCATAGTGTCTGACGTACAATCCCGTAAATATTAATAGTAGCTCATCCACAAGATTTTTTCTGGTACGTGATTTTTAGCCAATTATATCGAAGGATCAGGTGAAACGTAAAATCAAAACAATTGAATTAAGCGAAAGATTTTAAAGTAAGAAGCATCATCTTAAGGTTAGGATAAGGAATGAAGAAAGGCATAGCTTATACTAAAATTTCACAAGGAATTTTTTTTTTATTAGAACACAGAAGGCGTTTCATAGGTAAAATTTCGAGTTAATGGTGATTTTTTAAAAAGACATGATTTTCACGTTACACCTGATCCTTCAATCTAATTGGCTAGAATCACGTGCCGGAAAAAATCTTGTAGGTGAGCTACAGAGGTTTCCTATAAATGAAAAAAGCATGGGTTGTTACATAAGACCTGTGCAATAATTATCAAAAATTATATCTCTAAAATAAAACAAAGCTAGGGAATAACAGTGCCAAATAGCTTTTCATTACAATGATGTGTTAAGTAATTGCTATGATCTTAATGCAAGATGTTGTTGCACATAACACACTCCTCGTGATTTCACTGCACTACATTGTATGGTTTTGAAACAAGTTCTTAATTTATCATATTTATTTTCACACATATTTGGTTTTTGAAACAAAGTCTTAATTTATAATATTTATTTTCTCACATATTTGGTGTTTTTAAATCTATGTAAAAAGTTATTTAATCTACCTTTTCTTCATCTACCTTCCTGTAAATAAAAATAAAAGAATATAAACAACATTGTATGAAAATACAGATAAATACAATTACAATCATAATAATAAACTGTAATAAAACCATGATTTTTGAACACAAAAATTATTAAGATGAACTTGCTATTTATAATTATAGAATACTATATTTATCTGCAAGTCACATCTTCAAAATGGTTTCTCTTCTTGACAAAAATAAAGAAACAGATGGCTTTATCACAGTCACTAATAGGAAAACCAAAAAAAAGAACAGAACATTTAAAAAAGATGAGACAAGATTATCTTCTTACAAGAAAACTTATAGAGAAGAAAGCTACTTCCAATTTAAGAGATTTAACAACCTTATATAATTTATAATTCAAAAAATCAAATTAAAAATAACAATACTAAATATAAAAGGACATAATGACAAAAGAAAACATCAAAATTTACTAACTCCTTTAAAATTATACAAATATATATAATAATGCTTCAGAAAATTAATTTTAATAATAAAAAAACACAAGAATTTCTTAAATAACAATAGATTTATAATTCAATTTGAACTAAAAAAATAGCAATTTTAACAAAAAGCAAAGATATTGATTTCAAAAACACTCAGATAAGTCATAAAGGAAGAATAATAATAACAGACTTTGTATTTAAAGAATACTTCTTTAAAATAACAAATATCTATATACCACCAAACATTAACAACAAAATAATCTTCTTTAATGATTAGAAACCTCAAATCAAAGAAAATAATATAAACATTATAGCAGGAGACTTTAATGTTAATCTTAATCTTAAAGAAAACAGAATAAGTTAAGCAACAGCCCAATATAACTCAACTAGGTTCTAGGTCTTCAATTTAATAAAAGAATTTATTAATATAGCAAAAATATCAAGCATAAGCTCTTCCTAACTTTTTTTCAGAAAACATAAAATAATTACTTAATAGCTATATGTTTAAACTATATTTTTATAGATGAAAATCATAATTATCTTATATTAGAAGTTAGTACACACTTTGGTAATTCAAACTACCTTCTAGTAAGATGCATACTTAAATTCAAACAAGAGTTTAAACAGCCTTCAGTCTGAAAGTTCAATAAAGAAGCTTTTAAAAACAATTTAC